AGACAGTCTCAGTGGGTTAGATTAATGTATAGAAGCAGGTTCTATGTAAAGCTTTGATCAGATTTGTGTTTTGTGAGATTGTTTATTATTATATTAATAAGTCTGGGTCACAAAAGTCCTGTTAAGACAACTAGAATAAAGAATTAGAAAACGAAAACTATTTATCATGATTTCGGAGCACAGCCAGAAGTACTTCCGGCTCAAGGTCACGACCTCGATTTTCCCACGCTTACGACCAATCACAGCAGGCTTCAGTCAGAATGAGATAGACGTCACGACTACACAGCGAAACTTGTCAGACATGTAAGTTCCGCCTGTCCATCTTTTCGGTACATGTACTGATCAAAAATAGACAACGTAAAGCCCAAAACGCTCTTATACACGTAACCAACTTTGTATGAGCACAAATATTGTCATTTATTGTGAACAGGATAATATGATAATCAGACACACTTGAGACCTGTGAAGCGCATACTCACGTGTCGAGGAGTAGTTTCGCCATTGCCTCGTATGTGAGTCCTAACTCAGCTTTAAGTGTCCTCCACCACCCCACCTCCCTCCCAACATACACAGTCTGAGTGCTTCTTCGTCTGTCTCTAATTTTCTTTCGTATCTTTCGAACTGGAGTGGCTATTTTCTTTCGTCCCTTTTTGTCGCTCTCCTCTTCAGACTTGACGCGCGTCTGAGCCATGTTTGCTGTTTTGGCGCCAAATAGTAACATCCGGGTCTCAGCCGTAGTACTTCATTCATAGTAAACCGCGAGACTTAGCGAGAAATTGCGCGTTCTGAAGCCGTACTGTGAGGTGGTAGCTGAGTATTTAAGACGAGTCGTCTTTTATTATTTAATGGAACTTAAAAACGGTATTAGGTAGGTTCATTTTCTCAACGGTTTTGGATAGGATATACCTTGGTCATTATGGGGAAATTGGTGAGATTTCCAGGAAAATTCATTTTCGTGCTATTTTAAGGGTTTAACGAGCTGAGACTGTCTTTAACTTCGTTGATAATGACAGCATTGCCAATGACTAGTCTAGTCCTAACAACCTGTACTAATGAAGAATATGCACTTCCTAATAATGGGACAGATCTTAATTGCACGAAAATTTTTTACGATCTTTCAAAGACAAATGCCCGTCTGTGTGAAGCAACAGATTTGTCTTTCTTTTCGCTTACGTCTAATAGGCCGCCCAGTGGTGTTCGTGATGGGGTTACTAGCGAATGCGTGTGCCATCTGCGTGCTCAACAGACCTCCCTTACACAAATAAAACCTAATAACCCTTGGTTTATCAAATGTAATAACTTAGTATGGAATTTATGGGTTTGCTAACAACCGGTGGCCAAACATAAACTATAATGCTGTGATAGCTGATTCAGCTGGTTTGAAACTTCCAGCCACTAAGTTTACGCATCGCAAATAGAGGGGAGCAAATGAATGATATTTCGATGTACAAAACATAAATATATCCGGCATAAATATATATGGGTTTAAGAGACATACAGTATATAAGCATTTACGTCGTAGCATCTACACATTACCATTATACCCAGTTCATTCAATAGGAGAGACAAATGTCGTGGTAATAATCTATTTCAACAGCTCAGCACAATATAGCACGGATGGACTTTCATAGGAAGTACATCTCTGCACAACTTGAATTGCCGTCATCTGGACAATCTCTGAAGTTCCTGCATGTAACAGATACATGTAACATGTATATGTACCTGTAACAGATACTATCATAGCGTTATGTGTAACTCGGCAAAAATATAACCAGTGATAATGACAGCATTCCCAATGACAAGTGAAATTTATGAACTTGACAATCCCAATCTTCCAGTCCTAACGACGTACACTTATGGAGAGTATGGAATTAGTAACAACGAGACAGATCTGAATTGCACGGAAATTTTGTACGATCTTTCAATGACAAATGCCCGTCTATGTCAAGCAACAGGAAATTGGTTGATTTGTCTTTCATTTCGCTTACGTTTGATAGGCCGCCCAGTGGTGTACGTGTTGGGATTACTAGCAAATGCATGTGCCATTTGTGTGCTCAGCAGACCCTCCTTACGCAAGAACACTACATGCATATTTCTTATTGGAGTTGCAGTGGCAGACATGTTCTTATTGGTCACCGGATTCGTCTTCTGGGCTGAGTACGAACTACGTGATAGTCACGCCATGTCGGCTAATCCTTACGTATGTAAATTAACTTTATTTACAGTTTATACTGCCCCCGAAATAAGTGCACTCTTATTAGTGATTATGAGTGCAGAGAGATTAATGAAAATCCGTTACCCGCTTCGTTGGTCACTATATTCCAACCCTCGTACTGCGAAGATAGCCGTTCTACTTGTCAGTGGTGTTGCTATTGCGATTAACGGTCATATTTTCTTTGCCGACGTGTACTTTTCTATTTGCGGTTTTGACATTTGCTGGAATACCTATCACGACAGCGTGGATTTACTTGTCAACCATACTGACGGCGTGACATACTTCTTTGCATACGTCAACAGATGGATCTCACTTGCTTTATACTGGATTGTGCCTCTTCTTAGCCTTCCTGTTATTAACGGATTTATCATAAGGTCAATACGAAAAAGAGAGAAAAAACTAAAATACATTCGTCACTGCAATAATATACCGAGCCATTCTCAAGGACAAATAACCAAAATGTTACTACTTGTGACTTTTGCATTTTTGACCATGGTATCAGGTTTGAATTTCATTCAAATAGGAATAGTAAACATAAGTGATATTGATGATATTGATGCACGTGCGACATACACCGTTGTCTATTCTATTTTTATTTTATTATTCTACCTGAACCATGCCTCAAATTTCTTTCTGTATTGTCTTAGCGGACAGCGTTACCGCCAGGAACTAAAAGATACAATAAGAATTGTTCTAGGACGATTTGGCTGTCAACGCAAAACCGCCATTCCGGCAAACACAGGGGATAATGGTCATTTGAATCACATAGCACAGGAACAATCTAGCTCCAGATTCGAAGACAGCAATGACGAAAGTTTCGATCCAGGTGTTTTTGAACCCAGGAAGATGGTCAGATACGGGAGCAGTCTTGATAACGCCAACACGAAGGATTGTACGGGTGTCATACAAAGTTTAAATATGTCACAGGTTACCGCTGACTGCTCCCCAGCTGATGACGCTGAAACATTAGAAAACGTGTCATCCACACACATGTAATATAACGCTCATAATGCTACGGGCCTGGTGCTTAACATGGATTTTTAACATGAGCATACTGTGCTCAATATCCTTGTGTAATCCCATTTTAAACATGACATTGTAGTTTGTTAAACCATGATGTTTCCTCACAAGGGCACAGTAACAAGTATGCCCAACCAGTTGTTTTAACAAAAAAGGATGTCGACTGTTCGTATAAGATTCATATTTCACAATAAGTATTCTGTAAGCAACTCATAGAAATATATAATAAATTCCACGGGGGATCATGGTCATTCGAATCACAAAAACACAGGAACAATCTTGCTCCAGATTCGAAAACAGCAATGACGAAAGTTTTGATCCAGGTGTTTTTGAACCCAACATGTGTATTGCATTTGCATGCACAAGCACTAAGACAATTTAAGTGCTCTTCGTAACGCCACCACACAGGATACTACGGGTGACGTACAAAGGTTAAGTGTTTCACAGGTTACCGCTAACTGCCCCACAGCTGACAATGCTGGTCTATCTGAAACCGTGTTTTCCATACACATGTAATATAACACTCTTTATAATACTACAGAAATAGGGACATTTTTTGTTCTGTTTAATAATTACATGAAACTTATGTGGCGAAGGGAGTCACCGGTATGTTTTGTAATGGAATTTAAAAAATAATTATGCGATAAGGCTTATATATTATAGTGACACGATTAAAATTAACTAAAAAGAAATATGTAATTATTAAAGGTGGGGGTGCAAATGCGCATTTGTGCTACGGAGCTGTAGCTTTACTTTTACATTGAGGATACTGTGCGCAATACTCTTGTGTAATCAAATGTAAGCGTCACATCTTGTAAAATGTTAGAACAATCTGATTTCTGGAAATGACGTTGGTGTATTCCATGGTGCATTTATCCATCTTTTATTTAGTGCTCTGTTGATTTTGCTCACTTTGTGAAGAAGTAATAATAAGCAATTGTCACATGGCAATGGTAATAATAAGAATATGTCTACTTTTGTAACTAAAAGTTGGTTTGTTCATTCACTAAAAGAGAGCGATAAAAGTAGCCCAAACAACTTTGGAAATTGGTCACTAAAACATAAAAGAGTCATTCTTTACTCAAGATATTAAATCCATCAGCTTCTTGAAAGTCGTTCAAAGCAACGCTAAGAATGTTTATCCATAATATACCGTTTCAGTAAGGAAAATATGCCTTAAATAACAACAATAAAATAGTATTTTAATTTTTTTAAAATAATAGTAACTAGAAATGCACTCAGAGATCACATACCTCCACCAAGAATGTGTAAACAAATGTCTTTACGTCGATCAAATAAGTAAATGAGAATGGCTGCGCGTTAATAGCTTTAACTATTCCACAAACTAGAAATCAGGATACCGATATACAGTTTAAAACGAAAATGAGACCCTGTATGTACATTTTGTGGCAAAAATAAACAAGCATTTGCCAAGGAAGTGTTAAGGTCCGTGTTTCGTGAAGACCGATATTGAAGTCATAGTTTCAAAGACAAAACTTTACAGAACCTCGCAAAAAAGGGAGCTTGC